TTTGCTGCTTCAGGACCTGGAAGACTTGTTGTGATAAATGGAACCATGAATTCTGCTGTTTACCAAAAAAATCCTGAAGGAGAATGTCCGGCCATCTGTTCGTGACCTCAAGCTGAAGCGAACTTGGGTTCTGCAGCAGGACAATGATCCAAAACACACCAGCAAGTCCACCTCTGAATGGCTGAAGAAAAACAAAATGAAGACTTTGGAGTGGCCTAGTCAAAGTCCTGACCTGAATCCTATTGAGATGCTGTGGCATGACCTTAAAAAGGCGGTTCATGCTCGAAAACCCTCCAATGTGGCTGAATTACAACAATTCTGCATAGATGAGTGGACCAAAATTCCTCCACAGCGCTGTAACAGACTCATTGCAAGTTATCGCAAACGCTTGATTGCAGTTGTTGCTGCTAAGGGTGGCCCAACCAGTTATTAGGTTTAGGGGGAAACACTTTTTCACACGGGGCCATGTAGTTTTGGATTTTGTTTTCCCTTAATAATAAAAACCTTAATTTAAAAACTGCATGTTGTGTTTACTTGTGTTATCTTTTACTAATATTTAAATTTGTTTGATGATCTGAAACATTAAAGTGTGACAAACATGCAAAAAAATAAGAAATCAGGAAGGGGGCCAACACTTTTTCACACCACTGTATATTATGTAAACACACTTTGCAATTTGATAATATTGTGATTTTGGGTTTTGACTTGAGCTGTAAAACCCTGGATACCTGCAGCAGCTCCTGCAGTCTGACGCTCTGATCCCTGCAGCTCTCCAGCTCCTGCTGTGTGCTGCTCACTTGACCTTTGACCTCCTGCAGCTCCTGGAGGAGTTCAGCCGTCTCGGTTTCATTCTCTACCTGGCTGAGGGCCGTCTGGAGCTGCGTGATCGTGCTCTCCTTCATCTGATGAAGAACAACAGACAAAATGATCAGCAACACAGTGACAACAGTGTTTAAAAACACTCCATCTGTTCCTAAAGGATTTGAACTCATTTCCTCAGAAGGTTCTGCAGAGCGGAAGGTGCTACACAACTCAAGCGAAAACCATAAAAAATACATTTGTTACCTGAAATAAAATACAAGCAATATGGCTTAGTGCGATTATAAAATCACAAAAGCTGTGATTTAATTAAATAAATACAGGCACTGCGTGTTTTCTCTGTTGTCAACAAAAGAGAAGCTTTAAGGGCTCCCTGTGGTTTGCTACCAAAATTAAAGCACTAGGTTTTAACATTTGAAAGTTAAGATAAATATAAGTATGGCAATTTTACAGTAGCCTTGTAAAAATGATATATTTTAAAAATATTATACATTTTAAAAATATTTTTTATTTATAGTGAAATATTACAACAGTGCTATTTCTGATTTAGTTATTTAGTAATAATATTATTATTAATAATAATAATAATATATTAAATAAATAAAATTAAATAAAATTAAATATTTAATTTTATTTAATTTTATTTATTTAATATATTATTATTATTATTAATAATAATAATAATATATTAAATAAATAAAATTAAATAAAATTAAATATTTTATTTTATAGTCATATTTAGTGGCTGATACAGATTTTTTGAAGGCAGATGCCAGTATCTCAGAGAGCAGGTATAAAGCTAATGTGATATACTATTATTTAAATGTTAAATACGTTAATAAAAATAAAAATAAATACTTTTTAAAATTATTTAATTATTATTTGATTTAAAAATAATAAATAACACATTCATAATTTCTGATATAGATATGAACTTCTTGATTCCATAATCATTATAGTATTTTCACAAATAAATACCGGCAATATATGAAAAGTGGTATAGTATTTTCCTTTTAATTATTAGACAGAACTGTTAAACAAAGGCTTAAGTATAATAAACTAAACTAAAGAAAGTAAACTAATTTAGGAGACAGGGAGCGGCTGTCAAAATAAAAGTCCCAGCTTTGTGCTTCTCATATTTATAATCCTGTGGAACAGGAAGTCATGGCTGGACAATTTCATGCTCCTGGTCACCTTGGTGTGCTAAAAAAAAAAAAAAAAAAAAGACAAATATCGGCCGATAATATTGGTCATGACAATATATCAGATGACCACATATATAAACACAATATTTATTGCATAATTGTGCAGCCCTACAAACAAACACAGCAAACTGCAATCACATTTTTATTAGTAAAATCACAGTTTGCACTAGTTAATACAGCAGTGACGCACCTCAGCGGGCGGCAGCGGTCTGTGATGGGTTGGTTTGGTTCTCATTTGGTTCAGTAGGTCGATCATCACGGCTAACCTCCTCTCGTACTCCATCACCTCCTCCTCAGAGCTGTTCAACAGCTGCTTCTGCAGCTCCTGGTCCTTCTGCATCCCACTCAGACCCTCCTCTAGCTCCTTCAGCTTCTCCGTCAGCAGGCTCGTCTTCCCTGCGGAGGCTGCCTGCGCCGTGAGGCCCTCTGAGTGCAGCTGCGCGCTGGGGCCCATGGCTTCTCCTGCGCAGAGCTCTTTGGTTTGCATCTGGATGGCTTCCAGTTGTGCTTGGCTGACCAGAACGGCGGCCACCTTCTCCCTGAGTTCCTCCTCCAGCTGAGCCACTTTAGCGTCGGCGTTCATTTGCGCTTGTTCCAGCTTCAACCTGCATTAGTGTGAATTCTGTCAGCTGTTTTGTAATTCAGTCTTAAGCCCCGTTCACACCAAGGACGATAACTATAAAGATAACGATAAAGATATAGTTCTAAAAATCGTTCTCAATATTAAAGAACGGCAGAGTCCACACCACAGCAATAACGATAAAGGCACAAAGAAACGATATCGTTGCAATCACTTCCAGAATGATTTTTTTCCAGCTGATGAACGAGAAAAACATTGACAGCCAATCAGAATCCATCCTGCTATCACGAGATTGAGAATTTAAAGCGGCAGACGTGCGTGCTCTTGGAATAAACAGACGATATCGTTCGCTGGCGTGAACGCTAATATCGTTATCTTTATTGTTATCGTTCTTGGTGTGAACGGGGCTTTAGTCCTGTGTCAAATGTCCTTTTTTAGTCAACCTGTCCTATTTGTGGTTTAGTCTAATTTTAGTCTAGTTGTAGTCAATTAAAACAGTCACATTTTAGTCCTGCTGCATAATGATTAAACTGATAATCAATTATTTCGCTCAAAATTATAATCGCGATTACTGATCATTGTTGTTGTCTTTTGCATAATTGGGGGATTTAATCTGTTGAAATCTGGCAACCGCAAGCATGAAAACTTGTGGAGGCCTAAATCTTTTCTCCTCTTTTTTTGTTGAAGAAAACATAGAATATTTTTGAATATAGAGAGTTTTTTAAACTACATGAAATTGCATGTTGTGTTTAACAATGTCGGTGTCGTCTCGGGGAAAAAAAGTCGTCACAGAATATTTTGGTCATTGTTTTCTTCAACGAAATTAACAGTAGATAGGGGGATTTAAACTCTTTAAATCTGGCAACCGCAACCATGAAAACTTATGGAGGTCTATATTTTTTCTACTTTTTGGGGACGAATACAAAGAGAAATTTTAGATATACAGATTTCTTATTTTTTACTACATTTTAGTCACGTCTTTTTTCCGTCAATGATATTGCATGCTGATATAATCATAGTTAGTGTTTAATTATGTCGGTGTCATCTGTGAAGAAAAATGCTCGTCACAAAATATTTTTGGTCATTTTTTGTTAACAAAAATAACACTAAGTACACCCTTGAAATCTGGCAACCGCAAGCATGAAAACTCGTGGAGGTGTATATTTTTTTGCAGAATATATAGAGAAATTTTGAATGTAGGGAGTTTATTTTTTAAACTATATTTTATCATCATAAATATTAAATTTTGATATAGTCACATTTAGTGTTTAATGATGTTGGTGTCGTCTCGTTTTTGTCTCGTCTTGTCAACTAATATTTTTTATTATTGTTTTCATTAACAAAAATAACACTAAGTACACCCTTGAAATATGGCAACCCCAATCATGAAAACTCGCAGAGATCTAGATTTATTTCTTTTTTTGTTGAAGAAAATGTTGAGAATTTTTGGATATAGAGTTTTTTCTTTTTTCACCAACAATACTCCATGCTGATATAATCACAGTTAGTGTTTAATGATGTCAATGTCATCTCGTCTTATCTTAGTCTGGAAAAAAAGGTTGCCAACTAATATTTTTCATCAGTTTTTGTTAACAATATTAACACTAGACGGGGATTTAAACTTTTGAAATCTCGTAACCCCAAGCATGAAAACTCGTGCAGGTCTAGATTTTTTTCTCCTAGAGAAATTTAGAATTTTGAGTTTTATTTTTTTAAACTACATATTAGTCTCTTTTTGCCAGTGATATTGCATGTTGATACAGTGTTTAACGACATCAGTGTCGTCTCATGTTAATCATAAAAAAGGTCATCAATGAATATTTTCACCATAGTTTACATTATGAACTTAACATTAGATGGGGGATTTAAACTCTTAACATCTGGCAACCGCAAGCATGAAAACACGTGCCGGTCTGGATTTTTTATTTTTTAATGTTGAAGAAAATAGAGAAATTTTAGATATAGAGTTTAATCACTCGTCAGTGATATTGCATGTTGATATAGTCAGAGTTAGTGTTTAATGATGTCCGTCGCCTCGTTTTCGTCTCATTTTAGTCATATAAAAGGTCGTCAATCAGTGTCGTCTCATGTTAATCATAAAAAAGGTCATCAATGAATATTTTCACCATAGTTTACATTTTAGTCACGTCTTTTGTCGTCAATGACATCGCATGGTGATATAATCATAGTCAGAGTTTAATTATGTCTGTTGATATAGTCAGAGTTAGTGTTTAATGATGTCCGTCGCCTCGTTTTCGTCTCATTTTAGTCATATAAAAGGTCGTCAACTAATATTTTGTCACTGTTTTTGTTAACAATATTAACACTAGATAGGGGGATTTAAACTGACATCTGGCAACCCCAATCATGCAAACTCGTGCCGGTCTGGATTTTTTTCTCCACTATCTTATTGAAGAAAATTTGCAGAAATTTTGGATGTAAAGTTTTTATTTTTTAAACTACATTTTAGTCACGTCTTTTGTCGTCAATGACATCGCATGTTGATATAATCATAGTCAGAGTTTAATTATGTCTGTCCCCTTGTTTTTGTCTCATCTCGGTCTCATTTTAGTCATAAAAAAGGTCATCAATTAATATTTTCACCATAGTTTACATTAACGAACTTCACATTAGATGAGGGATTTATTGACATCTGGCAACCGCAAGCATGAAAATTCACGCAGGTCTGGATTTTTTCTCCTCTTTTATGTTGAATAAAATACAAAGAAATTGTAGTTATAGAGTTTAATCACTTGTCAGTGATATTGCATGCTGATATAGTCAGTGTTTAATGACGTCAGTGTTGTCATCTCCGTCATAAAAAGCTCGTCAAGGAATATTTTCCGTCATAGTTTTGGTTAATGAGAAGAAAACTCACCTGCACGCGCGCAGCTCCGAGTCCTTCTCCTCCACGCGCCGACTCAAGCTCATGGCCTGTGACCCTGCGCTCTCCTCCAGCGCCTGCACCTGAGCCTGGAGCACCACAAACGCAGCGGTCTTCTCCCGCAGAGCCTCCTCCAGCTCCCCCTGCAGACCCTCGTATCGGCTCTGCAGCGAGCGGTGGGCAGACTTCAGCTCGTCCATCCTCTGCTTCATCTCGTCGCTCTCGTCCTGCGGCTGCTTGTGCTCGATGAGCGACAGCTCCTGCTGGAGCTTCTCGATGACGGCGTTGAGCTGCTCCACCTCCTCCTCGCTGTTCCTCTTCAGACGCTCCTGCTCGCTCCGCAGACACTCCACCTGCGCCTCTAGCTCGCGCAGAACCTCGTCCTTCTCCTCCACCACCTGCAGACCAACACACCAGCTCAGAGAAGAGTCGTCTCTCGTTCCCTTCGGGTTCAATCTTCAATCCTTCACCCAAATCAAGTAGCATGTTGTTCAAACCCAGTATTATTTCACAAAGAAGATATTTTGTCAAATGTCTGAGCTGCTGCTTCTCATGCAATTAAAGCTGATGGCGCTTTTTACTACCAAGATTCAAAACCAAAACCAAAAAGCAATGTTAAATGCAGTGATGCAAAACTTTTTTTTTTAACGAAACTGAAATTAAATCAAATTTATTTTTCCTGGATTCCTTTTTAATAGTTAAATTAAATGTTTGCAATAAAAAAGCAATTGAATTTATGAAACTTACAATTGAACAATTTATAAAAAAAAGTAACAAAAATTACATTTTTAGAGCCCTATTGAAATCTTTTTTTATTATATTTATTATATTTATTTAAATTAATTTTTTTTACACATTTTTCCTTTTTTCCCCAAAATTCTGTTTTAGTTTTATTTTATGATATTTAATTTTTCCCCCAGATTTATTTTATTTATCCCAAATTCTTTTTACATTTGAATTCCATTTTTAATGATTTAATTACATTTTGATAATCAAAAAACCTGTTTAATAAATTTAATTTAATCTTAAAAAATGTAATAATTTATTCATTTTTACAATAACCTGTTTTTAAAATTATATTAAATTGCCCTATGAAGTGTTTTATTATTTATTTACTTATTTTTTTCAGAAATTTCTAACAATTTAATTAACCCTTTAAAAAGTAATCACATGAAAATGTAACAATTCCTTTTTTTCTTTTTTTGGCAAACAAAGTACTGCACAACAGAGGCTTACTGTTAAAATTAAAACATGGGAAAAAAATACGCTGAATATTTTTTTTGGGATGCTGAAATATCGGTGCATCGCTAATTAAATATTCCATATATATTTATATTCCATTCCTCTGAATAACTGAAGAGTTCATGGTTCATTGATCACGATAGAGCATAAGTTGTATGAATTACTATGGTATCAGCAGTATAAAACTCTACACACTTTCATCGCATGAAAAACAGAAGCTTAGACATTCTTTGCATTTCATTAAAAAAAGGTTGGAACAACATGAGCATGAGTGATCAATGATGACAAAATATTTATTTTTGACGATGCATTCTTTTAAAAAACTGAATGCATGTTTGGTCTTGGTCAAAATCACAGGTAATCTGAACGGTGTTCACTCGCCACAAAAGACTAAGATTTAGCAATTTGAGGCGCTTTCATTTAGCCACGAAAACACCCTTTGACTCAGATACATCAGTGTTGCAATAAATTCCTCAAGGAATATTTTATGCAAATATAAATATTCTGTCATCATCGACCTGTATGGCTTTTTCAGGGAACAAAAAGATGACGTGTTAGTAAACTGGCTGCTCTCTTTCATACAGCGACCGATCGGAGTTACAGAAGAGACAGAGCATGACAGGGTTTTTATAATTAACTAAAACTAAAACCTAAAAAAAACCCACACTGTAACTAAAATTAAAATGGAAACTACAAAAATAAACACAAAATATTAATTAAAAAATGATATATCAATGATACTAAAATAACACTGAAGCATGAGTTATATGGACTATTTTATAATAATATTATGGCACTTTCATGTCATTTTGACAGCGTCTGCCTCCATTCACTTCCACTGTATGGAAAAAAGCAGCGTGAACATTCTGCTAAACATCTCATTTCATTTTCCACAGACAAAATATGAGTTTTGGGTGAGTAATTTTGGTTGAACTATCCCTTTTACCAGGAGGGTGTGAGATGATTGAAAGTTAAACACACTGCAGAACAAACACCAAACCACATCAAAACAATGAGCTGAATGAATCCACAGGATCTGAGACAGGCGTTTCCATTCAATCAAAAGACGGACGAACCTGTTTGCACGGGATAACAGCAAATACATCCAGTTTAAAGAATGCAATCCGTTATTTATCATGCAGCGAATCAGCAGTAACTCATTATGTCTGAGTCTTTGCACTCTTTAAACCCAAGCTGATGTGTTTTGCCATTTGTGTCCCTGTTGCTAAAAATAAGATGCAAACACAAGATGGCAAAAGACATGAGATGCACCAAACCAGACGAAACACACACACACACACTCACAAACACACACTCGCACACACACACTCGCACACACACACTCGCACACACACACTCGCACACACACACTCGCACACACACACTCGCACACACACACTCGCACACACACACTCGCACACACACACTCGCACACACACACTCGCACACACACACTCGCACACACACACTCGCACACACACACTCGCACACACACACTCGCACACACACACTCGCACACACACACTCGCACACACACACTCGCACACACACACTCGCACACACACACTCGCACACACACACTCGCACACACACACTCGCACACACACACTCGCACACACACACTCGCACACACACACTCGCACACACACACTCGCACACACACACTCGCACACACACACTCGCACACACACACACACGCGGGTTTCCTGCTATATGCATATGTGTGTGTCACATGCTGACAGCCGCCGTGTGTCCACACATATGTATACGACTTTACCTCTGTCTTAGGGTCTGTTCCCGTGCGCTGACGCTTAGCGAGCTGCTCGTTAAGGACGGCTATCTGCCTGTCCTTCTCCTCCAAGACCTTCAAGAGTTAAACATCATCACATGACTCTGAATTTAGGACAGTCCTGTCTGCTGGCTGCGGCAAGGACTCAGATCTCGGTTTGACACTCAAACTCTCAGATTCATATTCAAGTCACCAAGAACTCAAAACATGAGTCCTAATGTGAATGATTCATCAGTGCGTGTTATAAAGAAAAACGTCTGTCTTCGTAATCTGCAAAAAACGACAAAATCTTTCAAATATGTAAATATTCTTAAATTAAAATGCATTTACTCGAGAAGGAAAACTACATAATATATTAAGTCTTGTTTAATGTTTTAAAATTAAGCAAATTTATGAGGTCAGAAAAATAATCTTGTTTTCCCATTGAATTAAGTTTATTTTTCGGACCCCATTGCCAGTTATTTTTTCTTGTAAACTGTATTTTGGATTTTTTTAAAACTGCAAACGTTTCATGTTGACTTCGATAAAACATTAACTTGTTCACACACGTACATACATATATAAATAAACATATAGATCAGACAGACAGACAGTACGAGATGTGCACTGCAAAAAATTATTTTCTTACTTTGTATTTTTGTCTTGTTTTCCAGTACAAATATCTACATCAAGATGCATTAACTTACTAAGCTTTATATATACATATATATATATATATATATATTATTAAATCAAAATTAAGTGTTTATGCTTAAAACAAGACCAAATATCTGTAAAATGGGCCAGAAAAATAATAAAAAATGATAATAAACTGAATGAACTTGAGAAGTACAAATTAAATACTGCAGTTAATAAAATAAACTAGGTTTATCTTTCAATTAAGTTTATTTTTATGGCCCCATAGGCAGATATTTATTCTTGTTTTGAGCAATATTTAATATGTCACGTAATTTTGCTTTTTATGTGTGTTTAAATATCTGTACTGGAAAACAAGACAAAAATACTAAACAAGAAAATATTTTGCAATGCGACGACTGCAGTAAAGCATGGGTTTAGCTCTGAAAGAGACATTAATAAATACACATGAATACATACATTTGACATTAATCTAAGTGACACTGAACACTACAGACTATAGATAACTATAACGTTTTTAACTGTAAGAAATAACCACATCACAATTGTTAACGATAACACCAAAGTGAATTTTTCCAGCTGATGAACGATAAAATCGCAGCCAATCAGAATCTTGAGCATTTAAAGAGACGGACGACAAAACAGCACTTATAACAATCAGAACATTGCTGTAGATGCTAATATAGTGACTGAACTTGATGTGAACGGGCCATTAGACAAACACAGAAGACATAGCAGCTGAAGTGTGAGAGCGAGCGGACCTGAGCGAGCCGGGCCTGAGCCTGCAGATCCTGCTGATGGCTGCTGATCTCCTTCCTCTGGATCTCCAGCTGCATGTGGAGCTGATGCACCTCCTCGCTCTTGTTCTCCAGATCCTCACGAAACTGCTCCAGCTGCTCCTCCAGATTCACGATCTGCGCACGCAAACAGGGCACTGTTACAAGTGCTGAAAACTTCATTTGTTAAAGGGGTCATCGGATGCCTATTTGATATAGGTTGATATTAGGGATGCACAATTAATCGAATTTCTAATCGCGATTATAATTACGGATGCCACAATTACGTAATCGTTCAAAGCGGCAATTAATCGTCCACTCATGTTATTCTGCGCGCTTAAGAAGCGTTTTTTTCTTTCGACATGTTATCTTAAGGGTTTTTCCCATTATTTTAATTTTAGTTTTAGTATAACATTATAATACCATTCGAATTTTAACTTTTTTTATAATTTAACCCTTTAGGCGCCAGTTTTTTTTTTGTTGAAAAATGCTGGATTTTGATATCAAGATTTTAAAAGCTTGTGGCTTGAAAGGGCTTAAAGGTAGACATCTAATGTAAATTAGAAAAATGTTGGGCATGACCAAAAGTTTATGTGGGGTGTAAATATACTCATCTAATTTGCATATTATGACGTCATCAGGGGGCGGCCCTCTTGAATGTCATAATATTCAGGAAATAATAGATATTAAATTGATGTTTGAACTTATTTGCATGTTTTTTTTTGTCTTTTTATCCTCATTCCAAATGATCAGAAAAGAGGAAACCAACAATAAAACAGGAGAAAGTACTAAATTATTACTATACTATATAGTAGTAAAACGCATGTGAACAGTAGCCTACTTTTAGATCAGTTCATCAGTAATATTCAGGAAATAATAGATATTGCCCTGCCACCCCCGTCTCCGTTGGGCAAAGGGTCGAAATTATCACTTGTTTGCTCTGCAAAGATGTACCGGGAGAAGCGCGATCATTAGACGACTCGGCATGCAGTTGCATCAAACAGTGGTATAAACATCATTCAATGTAAATTGTGATAATCGTAATTAATAATCGCAATTACAATTTCAAGGGAATAATCGACAATTATGATTTTTGTCATAATCGTGCAGAACCCTAGTTGATATGATTCTTTAGATTCTTAATAAAAAGTCTATAACATACTTTGGTTAAAATTTCTTAATGGTAGTGAAAAAAACACCTTTTTTACCCTGTCAAAATCAGCTTTGTTTTTAGCAACTCGATCACGAATGATTCGCGCGAACATAGACGCATTTATGTAGATCGGGGATCGGCGTATTCCCTTCATAACGAAAGTAACGTTAATTCTATGTGTCTTCAGCGGCTCAGATGTCGGGAGTAAATGACGACTGCTATGTTCATTATTACATCCAACAACAAAACACCTCAATCGCTTAATCGGAGACGTTCTTGTCTTCCCCTGCACTGGAGTCGACACAATGGCGGACCGATGACAGCTCACTCAGGGCGGAGCTAAGGTAAGACAGGCCTGTCAATCAACTATCGTGGGAGGGGCCTGTGCAGAACTACATAATTCTGACAGGAATCTCAGAACAGCCTGATTTGAGAAAGAGGATTTAAAAAAAACACTGGGTGGATTTTTATCATTATAGGACGGATGTGTACACACACTTCCAATACACATTTATGTTCAAACAACAACAAAAGTGAATTTTGCATCCGATGACCCCTTTAAGAATAGTGGTGTCAAAATTAGCGCGTTAACACAGGTGATTAATTTTTTTCAGTTTAACGCGTTAAAAATATTTAACGCAATTAACGCACGGGCGGGGCTAGGGTTGGCCACCACACTCACAACTGCTGCTTCTGTCACTTTTTCTCTTGACAAGAAGTGCATTTATTCAGTCGCAGAACGACAGAACGGGAGACGTTTCAGACGCGCGCTCCACTTCACTTTAGCGCCAGGTGCGAGTCAAACGAGCGCGGAAACGGTACTATGCTCGCAGCACGTAGCCTGTATCCTTTCATATCAAAGTGCGAAATAAACTATGTGCATGCAATGTCGTGGTCAGAAATGGTCTTCAAAACTGTCCTGGAGCCCAGCACTGTCTCACTCATCTAACACACCTGATTTAACTCGTCAGCTCATTAATAGAGACTTTAACCTGAAGTGGGTCAGAAAAGGTAAAGTGAGTTGAGAGAAAATATGATGCGTGTCAGATCCGCGTCACGTTCAGCAGCAGCAGCTCTTAAAGTAATAGCAGCCAAAACAACCTAATAACCAGCTGCTGTGATGTCTATTAATCAAAGGACAAAGAAAAAAAGACTAAAAAATAACTTTTATAGCTTTAAGGATTCATCTCTATTTAATTTAGAATTTAGTGTTTGATAACTTCAATTTCTGTATATTTCTGCTGAAGGGCCCGGGTAAATATGACATTTATTATAATGGGTTTATGTGAAGATTGTTTTAAGTTCACTTAAATTAGAAGTTATTTTTTAAAGTCAACATATTCTGTTACACCAAATACACAAAATAATGATCTTTAAAAAAGCATCATATGACCCCTTTAAGGCCTATTACTGTAAAACAAAAATGTAATATATTATATTGTCAAAGTTTTATGAATTTAATTGATTAGACATGCGTTTTGGATATAAATGGAAATAAAACAATTAATACAGATTTCATAGAGACTTAAAAATTTATTTTTTAATTACTTTGAATAAATTGTTTTGAAATTGTATAAGTTTTATCATTCAATTAATTAGTCACACTTTCTGATTGCTACTAAATTACATTTAACCATTAGAATGAAATTCAGAAAAATTTAAACAGAAAAGATAAAATTGATTTAGTTTTCAAAAACCTACAATTTAGTTTTTATTAAACTTTAAATAAACTGTATGTTTCATGATTTATGATGCTTTTTGATCACTAAACTTTAATTTGACCATTAAAACAGAATGCAGAAAACTGGAAAAAAAAACATGCAATTCGAAAAGAACTGATTGAAAAAAAAAAACAGATTTTATAGAAAAATGTAAATTTTTATTTTTGTTAAACATTCTTTTTGTTAAATTCTTGTTAAATTTATTTCAGTTAATTAGATGCGCTTTCTGCTTACTAAAGAGTTTTAGATGTTACTAAAGAAAAAAAAAATGGAATCCAGAAAAAAAAAAAAGTGAAAAAAAAATCCACACAAAACCTGATTTTTGCCCATAACCTATTTGACGATTTTACAGTGATGTTCTACACTACCCATAATAGTCGCTGTTACCATGGAAACGGGAATCGTCTCCACAATGAAGAGGTTTATCAGGCTCGCGGAGGTGACATAAGCAAGCAGCGTAACACGAGTTAACACTGGATGCTTTCTGAAACAAAAATACTGTTTTTAGGCTTTTTTGTTCAAGGCTTACAGTTCTACACTGAAGAGTTTACTTTGAGCTCTCTCTAAAGAAATGAGAGTGATGAGCACGATGTTAAGTCATAAAACCAGTTCTACTGTGTAATGCATGGAGTTGCTAGGTGCTCATAGATGAATGGTTAAGGTGACAGGAAGTACCTCTTTCTCCTTCCTGTCCAGAGCCTCTCGCTCTGTCTGCAGCTGTGCTTCCAGTGTGATGTCTCCTCTGCCCTCCATAGACACATGCTGGACCTCCTCAACCTGCACACAACAACACACACATGAAACACACAAATACACACACACACACACACACACACACACACAGCGGGCTGGTTGTAAACAAGTAAATATCCCCTAACAAACGCATCCAATCAGCATCAGGAGACTCCAAGACCAGCGGAATTATACAGGCTTCTGCGAGAACAATCACCTGTTTAGTCGTCCACCTAATATTTAGAAAAATTATAGTATATTATAAAAATTATATATTTATAGTGTTGCAGTTCACAGTTAGACCCAGCACCCAGCTATACATAACAACAACAACAACAAAATAATAATAATAACATTCAAAATAAAAAAAGTTGAAACATAATAATAATAAATAATAATAATACAATATAAATATTCAAAATAAAAAAAGTTGAATGACAAAATAAAAAAAATAATAATGGTAATAATAATCTTAATATTCAAAATATGTCTAAAAACGAAATATTAATAGAAATAATAATATAAAAAAATGCTGAATGACAAAATTCATAAAAAAATTGAACAAGAAAATAATAATAATAATGATAGCAAAGGTAATAATATTAATATTCAAAATAAAATGTCTGACAACAAAATAATGATAACTGAAAAAAATATATTCAAAAAAGTTGAATGACAAAATAATATTCAAAATATAAAAGTTGAATATAAATCATAATAACAGTGATAATATTGTCAATATCAAAAATAAAACGGTCTAATGAAATAATAAAAATAGTAGTAAAAATAAAAAATATTAAAAATGTAAAAAAATTGAAAGACAAAAAAACAATATTAAAAAGAATAAGTTTAATAACAAAATAATAATAATAATAAATATCATTCATTTATTTATTTGTATATTACCTTTTTATAGTTCAAGGTCACATAAATAGCAATGTGAAAAACAATTTTTTTTCCAAATCGTGGCTTTAGCATGTTGAGCTGTGCTGTGACTGTGTCTGCCAGAAACACGCTAAAAATATTCAAGATAAAAAACAGTATCTAGATAAACTCACTACTAAGACAACAATGACCCATCTATACTGCACATCTATTGATTCAACGTTAAATTAGACACACACACACACACACACACACACACACACACACACACACAGAGATCTCACTGACACACGAGCCTAACAACCCACACGCACAGAAACAGAACATGATCATTAAAGTGGAGACGAGATGCTGAGCACTGCATCCGCACTCACACACACACACACACTCACACACACACTCTCTCTC